CCCAGAGGGAGGCTTTCCAGTGCTACAGTATCTGAAGTCCCCATGGGAATCAGCAGAACACACAGGCAAGATCTTGCTTGATCATATTTGAATGACTGCACAGCCAACAATGCAGCACTGTCAGACCAGCACTGATTGTCAACTGAGCATTTGAGACATAAATCCCAGAACCATAGATTTATCACACAGAAGGAGGCTATTCAATCCACCATGCCTGTGCTGGCTCTTTTAAAGAACAATCCTTTCAGTCCCATTTTGCCCACAAAATACATAGTCAATCCACTTTACAATATATTCTGTGAAGCGTTTTGAGACGTCTCAACGACGTGATAACGCCCTATCTCAAATGCAAGGATTACTATTATTTCTTCTCCATACCCCTGTAGTTAATTCATTTTTAGGTATCTCTTTAGGTATCTGTCCAGTTCCCTTTTGTAAAGCTAATATGGTTCTACATCTCCTGGCATGGTATTCCATATCTTAACCACTTTGTGGAAAACTAGACCCCAGCACAAGTCGGTTGGTATCAGAAGGTTGTCGGTTCAAGGCCCACACAAAGACTTGAGCTCGCAGTCCAGGTTAACTCTATGATTCAATAATTCACTGCTGCATTATTAGAGGTTATACTTTTAATTATTATTTAAACAAAGGAAAGGGAGATGGATTGTGTCCTGGTCAATAGTCTGCCAGAGTAATCAGTTAGTAACCTCATGGCTGTTAATAATAATCCTTACATTTGATACAGCATCTTTTACATCAGGAGGTTTTCTCAAAGAGGTTTATTGGATATACTGTAAAATGAAGTGACTGAATTTTGTAGGTGAACGTGGCATCCAATTTGCACACAGACTTTTTTTTACAAATTAGACAATTTGTAAATTTGTAAATTTAATTTTGTAAATTTAAATTTGTAAACTTAAACATTTTACAAATCAGACAATTTGTCCACAGACAGCCTTGAAATGAGTGAGCAATTTTATTTGGGGGATTGTTAGCCAGAACACAAGGAGAAACTCCCTTCTCTTGGCCACAGGATCTTTAATATCCACCTGAACAAGCAGGTGGAACCTTTGTTTAATGTCTGAAGGACGGCACCTCAAACAATGTAGTACACTTAACCGAGCCTTCAGCTCCTCTCTCGACTCTCTTCCCCCTCCTCGCTCCCTCCCTTCCCTCCCCTCACCCTGACCATTTCCCCCCTCCTCGCTCCCTCCCTTCCCTCCCCTCACCCTGACCATTTCCCCCCTGCTCGGGTCATGACCCAACTGTGCAGCGCCTTGGGACGTCCTCCTGACGTGAAAGGCGCTTTATAAATGGAATCTTGTTGTTGTTGTTGTTGTTGTTACACCCCAGCATGGCCTTGGAGTATCAGCCTAGACTGTGAACTCAAAATCCGAATGTGGGGCTTGAACCCACAAATTTCTGACTCAGATATAATACTACTTCAAATCGAGTCAGACTTCCAACAGCGCCTTGGGACGTCCTGCGAACGTGAAAGGCGTTTTACAAATGTAATTTTGTTGTTGTGTATGGTGTACTCCAAAACACAGTCACACTTAACAATAATTGCTGTAAAGCGTTTGGAGGCGTTCCAAAGTACAATGCTCTATAATAAGTTCCTTCTTATCCACTGTAGAAATATCCTCAGTTCTATTCTGCAATAGCGTTGCCATAGTATTGACCCCATCACAAACTGAAGACACTGTGTGAATCAAGTGCCAGGATAAACTAGTAATGTGGTGCTCTGAAGCCAGTCACAAACACTGCTGTAGATTATTTATTACCGCAATCTATTTATCCACCACACCTCATTACAACAGCTCATGAGTAATCCGGTGGATTGGCATTAATAGGCACTTTTAAATCCTTTTTAAGAATTTCAGATTTCAGTTTATTTTAATATGCTGGGCGAATGTGAAATGTAAACTAATTTCAAATTATCAACACGTGTTCAAGCAGAATCATCTGCAAAAGCTTGTAGTCTCTGATCATGTCAGGTCGATGCTTTAATATGGGAGGCAGAGGGAGGAGGTGAAATCAGGAACTCATTAAAATACTATATTCCCGGCGCAAGAAACACAACCGCTCACTGCCTTGTTGAAGCAAGGAAGGGCTGGTGGCTGAATCAGATCAGTCGCCGACTTAGCACTAAATAAGAAAGATTTCTGGTGTCAGGCAAGGCCTTAAGGAAGTTTCCTCACTCCACATACAGTAAGTAGAAACTGGTTGCAAGTTGATTGATGGATCGCTTTCCGGTAGTAATAATCCCTTCAAATAAAATAATAATAATTTGGTCATTCAATCCATGACTGTTTGTTTGTGGGACACTGCTGTGCACAATTGGCTGCCGCTTTTCACCCACAAAATATACAGTCAATTCACTTTACAGTATATTCTGTGAAGCGCTTTGAGACGTCTCAAAGACGAGTTAAGGCACTATATCAAATGCAAGGATTGTTATTATTATTATGCTTAGCCATAAATTTGAAACCGTTCAACTCCTTTTTCTGCAACCTTTAAAAGTAGATCAGATTGTGGACCTTGGGGATAGGAATCATTTTTCAATTTCCCCACATGAGAAAATACAATTAGTTTCTACCCAATAATCAAATCAAGCATCACAGTAAGAAACTTGCATTTCAACTGTGCCTGTATAAAAACACTTCTTACTGCTGTATATTAATTGCTTTCTGTAGATAAATGTTGCCTTTTATGCACACAACATAAATGCCAGAAATATCGATAAGCTGGATGGCCAATTAGTCGGGAGGATTGTTGTACAGCACACTCAGAAAGTCTCCCTTCTCTTTTCTAAATGGATCATGGGTTCTTTATCATTCAGCTAAAGGCAGACAGGACCTCAAATCACAGAACTCTAACAATGCGGTACTTCCCCCTAATGCTGCACTGGAGGGTCAGCCAACATTGAGCTCAAAGTCTCGACATGGGGCTTGAACCCATAATGTGATCGAGGTGAGTCAGGCTGATGCATGATTCTATAGATAGAGACCATGCAGGGCTGAACACTGACTCTCGTGAGTGAAGGAGACAGCAGTTTCTGTGATGAGCTAATTCAGCATTGCTCCAGATTTCCTCTCCAGTGGACACACTTCATGCTGGAATGTGATGGCCCTCTGGCATCTTGTTGGCAGTCTGGTTATGGGGTTGATGCTTCACAACACGACTTGCACTTGTAATCTAGGCAGACACCCAGCGTTGGCCTGAGAGGGCAGTGCTTTGCTGCCCTCTCAGGCCAATGCTGATGGCCAAATGAGACATGAAAACAAGATCCTGTCCGCCTGTTCTGGCAATTCCCAGCAAAGTTAAAGATGAAGTGGAACTGAAAAGCCACCATTTGGAAGCCTGTGTAATTTACTTAGAACACGAGTGAGGCATGATACAGAGATCTATCCCAGGATGGCAGAGAGAGAGAGAGAGAGACACACACATACACACAATAAACTACATGAAAGTTTGACCTTAAAATGAATTAAGCAGATGGAGCGAGTGCCTGTGGTATGCAGCATGCATAGAGCTGGATCTATTGGGTGTGAATATCCCTCGTCTTTCTGAACAGAGAGCAGCTGAGAGCGTGAGTGTTCAGCAGGCAGCGACTGAGTAACGAGGTCAAAATTATCCTGAAGGAAACAAATACTGAGGATCAGGGGACCATTAGAGGAATTAAAGGAAAAGAAAAACAAAATGCAGGCAAAAGATAATAAATATTAACTATTCTAACAATAATGAATAGCTTAGCTTTGCTAGCATTACATAACGTGCTAAAGACACAAGGGGTTCTCACTTGTGGCCTCTCGTAAATACAGACAAAATGGCACTTGCTTAGCGGTGAAGTGTAACTTTACTGGGATGTTACCAGAGATGTGTGGATATAGCTGTCAAGAAAGATTGGATAGGTCGGAGCTTTTCTCTCCGGATTTGAGATGATTGAGAGGTGACCTGATAGCGGGGTTAGTTGGATGTTAACAGGCTGTTCTCACTTTTTGCGAGTCCATTAACCAGAGGACATAAATAAGATAGCCAGTAATAGATCTAATAGGGAGTTCAGGAGGAACTTCTTCACATGGAGGGTGGTGAGGTTTTGGAACTCACTGACAAGAGGCAGTGGTTGAAGCAAAAAGCATCAATGTATTTAAGAGGTTATTTGATTCATACATTACTGAACAGAGTAGTCGTAACAAGAATAATCCTTGCATTTGATATTGCTACTCTAACAATAATGAGACGTCTCAAAGCAATTCACAGGATATAGTGTAAGGTAAATTGACTGTATTTTGTGGCAAAGCTGGCAGCCAATTGTACACAGCAGCGTCCCACAAACAGTGATGGAATGAGTGATCAATATTATTTCGGGGATTGTTGGCCAGAACACTGGGAGAGGGAAACTTCCTTCTCCTTTCAAATGGTGTTATGGGACCTTTAACGTCCACCTGAACAGATAAACGGGACCTTGGTTTAATGTCTCTTCTGAAAGACGGCACCTCCGAAAATGCAACCCCCACCCCAGGACTGCATTGGAGCGTCAGCTTAGACTGTGTGATTCCAAGCCCCAAGTTGGGACTTGAACCCACAACCTTCTGACTCAGAGGCGAGAGTGCTACCACTGCACCAGGCTGACAGTTGGACTGAATGGCCCGTTTCCATGCTGTAAAGTTCTATGTAATTCTGTAATTCAAGGTGGACTCATGGGCACTGTCAACAAGAACAAAAACAACTAATTACACTTATATAGCGCCTTTCACGTCGGATGGATGTCACAAGGCGCTGAACAGTTTGCATGAAAACCCTTTCACCATGTGGCTGAGCTGTTCAGAACCACAGGAAGGCTACGCTGACGTTTCTTAAAACAACAGGAATGAGAGGGAGGGAATGATGTCTCCGCAGTTTCACTGAGTGGGGGAGGCAGGGAGAGGGGAAGGCAGGGAGAGGGCTCCGCTGTTTCACTTAGGGGAAGGGAGGAAGGCAGGAACATGTAAACATACCTCATAGAAGAATGGACGACCGAGTCGTACCTCTCCGCTTCCTCCTTCCCAGTGACTTGTAGCTTGGGCCGTGCTGGCTCTTGAGTCCTGTCAGCCTCCAGCTCCTGCTCCAGGGAAGAGCTGGTGCTGCCCTCCCTGCTGATGTTGCTGCTCCGGGCCGGGCTGTTGTCAGCCGAGGCCCGGCCCGGCGAGTCCGTGTTCTGTTTCAGGGTCTGCAATTTGGCCAACGGGATGATGTCGCAGTTCTGGGGCCGGTGCCAGACTGTCCGCTGGGTGGTGGCATTGTAATAGTAAAAGCGGGACGTGTTGGGGTCGAAGAGCTCCCACCACTGGTTCTCGTTGGTACGTTTTATGCGGACACCGGAAGGCGGATCCCACACACATTCCCCAGTGATCAGGTTGGCGTACATGCGCTCCCGAGTGCGAGGCTCGATGATCTCCACCCATTCCAGCCTGTAGAGTGGGAAGAAAAGACAGCATATTAAGTGACTTTCCCTTTAAATGTACAGAAGAAAAATCCACTTTATAGTGTATGCTGTGAAGCGTTTTGAGACGTCTCAACGACATGATAAGGTGCTATATCAAATGGATCTTTCTAATAATAATAATCCTTGCATCACTGCTCACTGACTATAATCTGTGTCCGTCTGCATCGAGTGAGGATAGTAAAAACATTTCAGGTGCACAAGTACATGTAGGGTTATGTCATGTATCTCAAGCCGTCATAAGGTGGATCTGATCCAGACAAGTACAGGATTGGAAGGAAAGACACACAAACACACAGAAACAGAAGAGAGACCCACATTCACACATAGCTGGTATCCACACTGTTTTCATATTCACACAGGGGCTGGTCTCAATCAGTGTGGATGTCAGGCTCTCCATATTTTATGCTCATCAGAGTGAAGGATGTCAGGATCATGGAAAACTTTACAGTATATTTGATGAAGTGCTTTGAGACGTCTCAAAGAAGTGTTAAGGAGCTATATCAAGGCTTATTTTATAAAACTCCCATATGGGCACTCAGTACTGGCTCAGTTGCAGCACTCTCGCCTCTGAGCCAGAAGGTTGTGGGTTCAAATCCCACGTTGGGACTTAAACTCACATAGTCTAAGAAGATAGTCCAATGCATTGCTGAACAGCAGGCCCATCTGCCTGTTCAGGTGGATCTTAGGGGGACCCCATGGCACTATTCAAAAAGAGAAGAGTTTCTCTTGGTATCCTGGCCAACAATCCCCCAAATAAAATCGGTCATTTCATTTCATGGCTGTTTGTGGGACTTTGCTGTGCACAACAGTTCTTTGTGGTTATATAATCTAAAGTACCAGCCTTCAGATGGGAGGTTCAACCTGTCTGCCTGTTCTTCAGATACACATAAAAGTTCATCGGACACTATTAGAAAAGATAATTTTTTTTGGATATCCAGGCTAACGTTGAATTGATTATTCACTTCATGGCTGTTAAGTCTTATTTTGCTAGGTGCAAACTGGCTGCTGCGTTGCCTCTAAACACAGTTGATATATTCATAGAATCATAGAATATTACAGCACAGAAGGAGGCCATTCGGCCCATCGTGCCTGTGCCAGCTCTTTGGAAGAGCTACCCAATGAGTCCCACTCCCCTGCTCTTTCCCCATAACCCTGCAAATTTTTCCTTTTCAAGTACCTATCTAATTCCCTTTTGAAAGTTGTTATTGAATCTGTTTCCACCACCCTTTCAGACAGTGCATTCCACCATAACAACCCTATGTGTAAAGACAATTCTCCTGATCTCCCCTCTGATTTTTTTACCAATTATCTTAAATCTATGTGCTATGATTGCGGCCAGTCGAAACGTATGCATGTGAATCTCTTTGAGACCTTTATAGGATTATTATTTATTTGGGTGCCTCAGGCACAGAGCCTTTTAACATGACGTAGGCCGTACGATTAAAGAACTTCACAAGCAGTGCTCAAAAGGCATCAATGTTTTACCTATCAGAAGGTCAATGGGTGTGTGCCTGGTGTGAGCAGTCATACACTGCCAAAGGGTAACAGGCCAAAGTTCACATCTGTGACACCCTTCCACCCCTGGAGGCAGTTTCGCCTAAAGAGATCATTTATGTTGACAAGACAGAAGCCATACTCTTTGGCTCCCATTAACTTATTTTCTCCTGCGGCTCTGACTTCCCCAGCCTTTCCCCAAGACTTACCAAACCTGTACGTAATCTAGGCACCAGGTTCAATCCACAGCTTTCCTTCCTCCCTCACATTCGGTTTGTAACCAAGACCGCTTTCTTCCACCTCTGACTGTACCTCACACCGAATGCAGCCAAAACCCTCAGCCATGCCTTTGTCACCTCCCTCCTCGCTCTGGTCTCCCCACCTCCACTATCCACAAAATCCTACTCCAAAACTCCGCCACCCATATACTCATCCGTTCTAAACTCCGCACCACATCACACCAGTCCTCGCCTGGCTACAATGGCTCCCTATCACAGAACGGATCGACTTCAAGATCCTCTCTAAGCGAGAGGACCGGAGTTCGATTCTCGGCAGGGAGAAATACTGGGCAAGTTTCCTTACTCCTTACTCCACGGTTTACCTAGCAGTAAGTAGGAACCCGGTTGTGAGTCGATTGGCGGATCGCTTTTCCGGGGGTAATAATTCCTTTTTTAAAAATATCACTCAATCCACGATTGTTTGTGGGACACTGCCTGTGCATTTGAATGCCACATTGCACCCACAAAATATACAGTTAATTCACTTTACAGTAAATTCTGTGAGGTGCTTTGAGACATCTCGAAGACATGATAAGGCACAATACCAAATGCAAGGATTATTATTATGATTCTATGATTTTCGGCTCCTTATGATAATTTGAACACACACATTGTATCTTCCCCTACTCCCCCACATCTCTATTAAAGACTTTTTTTTAATATAGAAAAATAATGAATTGTAAGTTTTCTCTTTCCCCAGCTCCTCCGAATTCATGTGGCATGAATTCCTCAGCTCATTACAAGGCAGATACAGGTGATTCAGGTGCAGACTTTCCAGCAGTGAGAAATGAATGACACACTTATTAGGCAGTAAAGCTCCCTGAAATTCCCGGCTGGAATATTCATCAGTGCCATATAACAACTTGCATATTCCTGCCCTTTATGCACATACATTCGGGAGAAGTGCTGTCAAAGCAGATGAAACATTTTGCACCAAATTAACAACCACTGAGTCAGCTGGTAACAAACATTAAAGTGCTCTGTGTTCAAGCAGCAATCTTTCTGATTGAGATTTTGCTTTTAGCCAGCGGATCGATCGAAGCACGGAGCCAATTAACAAAATGAATTAAAAAAAACCTAGATAGAGCAAAATCACACTAGCAAGGATACGTCCACTTGGGTTTAATAATAATCCTTGCATTTGATATAGTGCCTTTTCATGTCATTGAGAAGTCTCAAAGCCCTTCATTGAGTATACCGTAAAGTGAATTGACTGTATTTTTTTGTGGGCAAAACGCAGTAGCCAATTGCACACAGCAATGTCAAACAGTTGTGGATTAAGTGACCAAATTATTATGGCTTGGGCATGATATTGCCGCGTTTCACCCACAAAATATACAGTCAATTCACTTTGCAGTATATTCTGTGAAGCACTTTGAAACGTCTCCAGCCTGCTCCACATCCCCCGCCCGGTCCGCCCCACCAACAGCGGTTGGGCTTTCAGCCTCTTTGCCCATACCTTTTGGATCTCCATTCCACAGTCCCTTCACCTTGCTCCCTTCCCTTGCCTCCTTCAAGGTACGTCTCAAGACCCTCCTCGTCGACCGCGCCTTCGGCCACCCTCCTATCCCTACCATCCCTGCCCTCCCTCCCGTCCTGATACCAATCCCCAGCTTGGGTCCAAATCCCTGACTGTCCAGCAGCTTGAGACATTCTCCCAACGTGAAAGGCGCTATACAAATGTAATTTGTTGTTGTCTCGAGATTATTATTAGTATTACTATTGATTGGAAAGCATAAATAAAATATTTTTCCCTATACTACCAATGTCAAGGGAGAAAAAAAGAATTAAGGCAAAGAGTCCAGCAATATAAGATAATAATACGAATAAATAATAATCCTTGCATTTGATATAGCGGCTTCTCACATTGTTGAGAAGTCTTAAAGTGCTTCAGAGGATATACTGTAAAGTGATTGACAGTAAAGTATTTTGTGGGCAAAAACATGACAGCCAATTCCACACAGCAGTGTCCCTCAAACAGTGATGGATTGAGTGACCAAATTTTTTTGGGAGGGATTTATTAACCCTGAAAAGCAATCCAGCCAAACGACTAACAACCAGCCTCCTACTCACTTCTAGGTAAACAGAGGCGTGTGGAGTAAGAAAACTTGCTTGAGGTTTCACCCCGCCCGGAAATCCTCACTTGCGAGGCAAGCGCACTATCCACTTTGCTATGGGTCTCCACATGTGAAGGGAGCAGCCCTGCTGTCTCCAGAGAAGATTCTTGACCTCCTCCACAAACAGTGAAGTACTCCTGCTGACAGTGACTGGACTGTTTTAGGAAAACTCTCAATGAACTGGAAACAGTCCATCAGATAAATTCAATTTGGAGGCTATTTGGTCCTCCTCCTCAAATCTCCTCTGTTTTGCTGTGCCTTCAGTTAGTATCCTCAAACACTCTTCTTCCCACCTCGATGTCTGATCCACCATATCTGTCTACAGTGCTTTGAGAAGTTATCCTAAGTGAAAGGCACTGCATATATGAGCAACTTCTTATTAAAATGATAAATTAAGGAAGTGCACTAATACTAGCATGCTAAAATGTACTTGTGCTACAATTTCAGAAAATTAATATTCCACCTACTCTTTCAATATTAATATTTTGAAACCAATTACTTCTTTTGTGTTGCACATTTTGTTAGTAAACTAACTTAAAGCGGCATTTTATAGCTTTATAAATTGTTAATTAGATAATTTACTGCTCTGCTGGGGTTGGTGAAGCTCTCTGCTCTCCCTCTGGCTTTATTAAAAGGCTTGAGGAAAGCAAGAGATTAGAAAAATAAAACCCATTCGGATAATCAAGTAGTTTCCCAACGGAACAGTAGTTTTGACCTTCTGTTGGCGATTTGGTTTGTGTTGAAAGTGCCTATTATTCACTGGCAAACTTTCTATACTGAGCTGTGCCTCAGATCAGGAATAGTAAAGCAGTTGGAGAGCATTTTGGATAGGATCCAGAATAACTGCCCTCGAAACTTCCTGTCCATCTTGAACAAAGTCTCGATCTATCAACCATTTTATGTACTGCATAGACCTGCCTCATCATCAGGCTGACAGACCTCGGCTTAATGTCTCATCCAGAAGATGAAACAGGATGAAACGTTGGGCAAGTTTCCTTACTCCACATGCTTCTATTTACCAAGCTGTAAGTAGGAACCTGGTTGTTAGTCGATTGGTGGATTGTTTTTCCGAGGGT